TTGGTAAAAACCAATGGTTTCTGTTACCAATTATAGGCATTTAAGAATATTTGTGGAGATTTCATAGTTTATTTTGTTCAGGTAATTTTTCAACAGTTTTATTTATATAGCTTCAAGAATTTTCAGTTTTTGTTTATTGTTTTCATGTTTAAGTATAGTTGTGTTTTCAACGAGGGTTTTACAGAATTGTGTATGCGGCTAGGCATGTTGTTTAAATGTCTAAAAATGTTAGAGTTTTCATTCAAATGTAGTGTCAAACGTCATGAAAGCGAGTTTGTGGTGTGATCAAAATAAATATTATTTAATTCGTTGGAGATACAATCTCCCAAAGGGCACTTGTATTTGTAAACTATGTTGGTTTTTAGCAAATCGCTAACCGAGGGAGAAGAATCATTGAGAATAATTGAGTTGGATATACTAGATTTAGTGTAGTATATGAGTAACTTAATTTTTTTGCTAGGATCTGTTGTAGATATATTAGTATTTACTAATTTTTTTAGTATATTTACATATTGTTTATTAAATATGCTTTGATTATTATATAAGTGTTTGAGATTTCATATTCTTTTGCTTAGTTCACTTCTAGAGAATCTGTTTTGTTCATCAACTTATAGTTTGGAAAGCATTATGTATTTTGTTCCCTTTATAATTCTATTTTGTAATAATTAGTTTGGACATTCGTTATTTGTATTTTGTAATAATATGACATTCATTGTAGTTAATTTATTCTGGTAGTTTTTTTGTATTAAATTAACGATAAAAAAATGAAAACTACACATAAAGATAATTTTCTTTTTAAACAGTAATTCACTGTTGTAGTTCAGTGCTATTAACAAGTAGCATTTTTCTCTTGGTGATGGCGATACTAGCCGAAACTATTTGATGAACCTAATTAAAATAATAAAACAAAAAATATCAATATGCAACCCAGTGTGTCGAAAAATTTTAATTTTTAATATTTTGCATTGTTCAAAAGATATATATATATATATATATATATATATATATATATATATATATATATATATATATTTGTGCGTGTGTATGTGTGTGTAAAATCAAGAAGGATTTTTATAAAATGAGTTGTTCAGTCTCTACAGCCTACTTTGTTAGCAAAAAAAAAAAAAAAAAGAAAGAGTGAGAAAGAAAGAGAGAAAGTGAGAGAGAGAAAGATGGAGAGAAAGAGAGAGTGAGAGAGAAAGAGAGAAAGAAAAGAAAAAGAGAGCGTGAGAAAGAAAGAGAGAAAGTGAGAGAGAAAAAGAGAAAGATGGAGGGAAAGAGAGAGAAAAAAGAAAAGATGAGAGAGAAAGAGAGAGAAAAGAATGGGAGAAAGAAAGAGAGAAAGAAAGAAAAGAAAGATGGTGAGAGAGAGAGAGGAAAAGAAAAGATGGAGAGAAAAGAGAGAGAGTGAGAGAGAAAAGAGAAAGATGGAAAAAGAATGGGAGAAAGAAATGGGAGAAAGAAAAAAAAGAAAAGAGAATGGGAGAGAAAGAAAGAGAGAAAGTGAGAGAGAGAAAGAATGGGAAAAAAGAAATGGAGAAAAAGAAAAGAAAAAGAGATGGGTGAAAAGAAAGAGAAAGAATGGGAGAGAGAAAGATAAGAAAAAGAGAGAGTGAGAAAAGAAAAAGAATGAAAAAAGAAAAAAGAAAAAGAGAGAAAAGAAAAGAAAAGAAAAGAAAAAGGTGAGAGAGAAGGAAAGAGAAAGAGAAGAAAGAGATGGGTGAGAAAGAAAGAGAGAAAGAAAAGAAAAAGAGAGAGAGACAGAGAGAAAAAGAAAGTGAGAGAGAGAAGGAAAAAGGGATAGATGATGAGAGAAATTATGAAATTAGTTCATTCATTCCTAACTGGGTATCCCACCCGTATCTATTAAAATAAACATCTGAATAATTCATTATTATCGATTCGATTAGTATTATGTGATTACACCGTTTTTTTCTTAATATTTTAAGAGGGAAGTTTTTGAATGTCGCTCACTTCGGGACTAGTAGCCACATCTTGATTGTTATATTAACTTTTACAGAAGGTCGGAGAGTGAATAGCTCAAAGTTGAAAGTCTAACAACGAAGATAAGGATGTTTCCAAGAACAAAAATGATGATGATAATATTAACCATTTCCTTTTTTTAAACTTATTTCTCCAGGCTAGACGCGAGTGCCACAAGCACGCAAGGGGTTACAGAGATTGAGAGCAAGAGTAGAGAGGGGTGTTTGGGAAAAGGTTAAAGAGAAGGACGGGGATCAAGATCAAGTCATCAGAAGATATCGATTGACGTTACATTTGAATATTTCAAGATTAGAGCTCTCATGGAAGCAAGTAAGTAGAAGAGAATTTCGAGATAAGAAGCTGTTGGAGTAGAAGAGACGGCTACAGAAAACTGTTTTGACAGTGAGAGGGTTGGAACGAGATGCCAACCTAGTAGCACGCTTAAATTCATGTAGTTTGGGAACCTGTGAAAGTAGCTCGCCAGAGCCGTTTCCATGAAAATAATTTATAAGAGACAGAGGGAAGCCACATAACGTTTGTGAGAGAGTGACTGTAGACGAGATGCCAGATCCGTCTCTGGATTTTGAAATTATAACGAAACATTCGATATTCACTGACAGATGTCCATTGTTACCTTCAATTGAGATTTATAAAACCATTCTATTTAAAAATGTTTCAAGAAAATATGTTTCTCAAGTTCAGTAATCATTATCGTTATTTCCAGTAGTGTGTGTGGGGGGGAGCTTTCTTCCTAACCTTTTGTCTGAAGCGGTGCGGAAGTTTAACATCTTTTTCTCTTTGGGTTACGTTTGCTATCCATGTTATTTTTTTGCTGCCGTTGTTCGAGGTTCCCAAGCGAGGAGGAGGTTTCTGATATTTATTTATTTATTTTAAGCATTCCACCCCAAGCAAGGCGGGAAGCCACTAGCACACAAGGGGTTACAGAGAGTTGGAGCGAGAGCAAAGAGGAGTGATAGAGGAAAGGATGAAGAGAAGGTTAGAGGATAGATCAGGGAATCTGGAGACGTCGATTGACATTAAATTTGAAAAGTTGGAGATTATAGCTATCAGAAATACAAGAAATGGGGAGGGGGTTCCACAGGCGAGAAGTGCGAGACATGAAGCTATTGTAGTAGAAGAGGCAGCTACATTTAACAGTTTCGACAGTGAAAGGGTGAGAGCGAGATGCCAGCCTAGTTGAACGCTTAAAATTATGAAGTCCGGGAACCAGCGAAAGCAGCTCATCGGAGCAGTTACCGTGAAAGTATTTGTAAAAAAAAGACAGAGGGAGGCAATGGCATGTCTGTGAGAGAGCGACTGCAGACGAGATGTCAGATCAGGGCCAATTACATTGCATATCCGTCTTTGGATTTTATCAAGGACCTTGAGACAAACAGAAGGGGCTCCAGACTATATATGGCAAATATACTCTATGCAAGTGTGAATGGTTCATTTGTAGATTTGAAAGATTGACTCCGGCGAGAAAAAATTCCTGGCGCGGTACAGGGAGATTTCGGTAAAGTTCCATATTTGTGATTCCATAGCTCCAGTCCACAAGCATCGAATATGGACGGTATTTGATATGACCTATAGGCTTCATTCGTACGAAGCCATTTTTAGCAAATGATACGATAAAGTGGTTGCATACATCTGATTGTTTTGATATTTCTGAACGAGTTTGGGTCCCACGCACGCCATCCATATTAAATCCTCGATATGACGTGGCTATTTAAAAACAGGGTCGATGATTTGGTTTTGTATAAATGTGCAGTGTTGAGCGAAATAGCTTCTTGCACAGACTATGTTCAATTTTCTTTTCTACGATATTAAATTTAGTTACGCAGTAAATGTTAAAGGAGTATATTAAATAAGTTTCTCAAGTCCAGTTGCTCTTATGACCCCTTCCAGTATTGATGGGAGATTCCCTTCTAACCATTTGTTTTTATAGAACGTCAGTATTTTGTTTATGTCAGTATTTTCTCTTCAACTTAACACGCTATCCATTTTAATTGTTGCTCCTGTTGGTAGACCTCAAGTGATGTGGTTTCTGTTATTTGGTACAGTTCTTTGTTTGTGATTCTGTAGCACCAGTCCACAAGATTCAAAGAAGGATGATCTTTGCCAAGACACTTAGACTTCATTATTTACTCTTTCTGTTACCTCTACTATCCATTTTAGTTGTTGCTGCTGTTGAAAGTCCTCAAGTGATATGGTTTCTACTATTTAGTATAGCCATAAATTTAAATCGTTTAAGTTAAGCAGAGCTGTGGACAAGAGAATGGATTCCATTGTGTCGAGATTTAGTCTGTCATTCCAATGTAGTTGACCCTCCTCTAACCGTACTGCATTTTTATATTGTCCTTGCATCCGGAAGATGGCTGGTACCCGTGCAAGACTTTACTCATCGAAATCTACTTAAGGAGAGGTCGTTCACTCTGAAGAAGAATCCCTATTCCTTATGTTGGATAGCGAGCTAAAGTTTGAAATGTATAAGAGAAATTACAGGATGACAATTGAAATTGGGTAGGCGTCGAGGAAATATGAATATCACAAGGAGGGGATTATAAAATAAACCTTATTATGGCTGTACCAACTGATCAGGAAGAAAAGAACCGCTATGAATTCTTTTTATCGGAATTTTTCTTTTCTTTTTTTTAATAAAAAGATCGTAAAACACAAGAAATCAATGCGCTGATCGCCAAAAAGTAATAAAAGGAAATAACAAAAAGAATGATATTTATTCATGATTCGGAAAAAAAAAGAAAAATATTGCACATAATGCCAGAGACTATATCTGACTGCATACCTCTGCTCATACCATCAGTTTCTCTGGCAATGACAGAAATACTTATGGATGGTGTAGTGGTAGATTAACAAATCAGCAACAGAGACTATGTGGCTGGACGTTTACTAATAAACACTGACGGTTAAATCAAGTTAACGTCGACAGAAAACAAATTCGATAGCATTTAACGATTACTAAAACAAACGGAAAACCGGTGACCGTAGCTGTTGCGATGTCAAAGGGCAGCTGGTATTTTTCTCCGTTGTTCTTTTATTATTTCACTTTTATCAAACGTTTTTCTTAGTCATTTACAAGTTGATTTTCTTCTTTCTTCCGCATTGATATTCTTTGCTCTCTCTCCTCCCTTTGGCATTCTCTTTCTTTCTCTTTCTCTCCCATTCTTTCTTTCTTTCTCTTCCTTACTCTATCATTCTTTCTTTCTTTCTCTTCCTTACTCTATCATTCTTTCTTTCTTTCTCTTCATTACTCTATCATTCTTTCTTTCTTTCTCTTCTTTAATCTATCATTCTTTCTTTCTTTCTCTTCCTTACTCTATCATTCTTTCTTTCTTTCTTTTACTCATTCTTTCTTTCTTTCTCTTCATTACTCTATCATTCTTTCTTTCTTTCTCTTCTTTAATCTATCATTCTTTCTTTCTTTCTCTTCCTTACTCTATCATTCTTTCTTTTTTCTCTTCCTTTCTCTATCATTCTTTCTTTCTTTCTCTTCCTTTCTCTATCATTTTTTCTTTCTTTCTCTTCCTTTCTCTATCATTCTTTCTTTCTTTCTTTCTTTTTTTCTTTGGGTTTACTTTTTTTGCTTTACACTTTCATTTGATTTAATCTTCTTTATTTTCCGTATCCCTTCAGGATATAGACGATCATGACTCTCCACAACTTCCTGTCCCTTTTTGTTGTTAATAAATTTTGTCTGTTATTTCTCCTAAACCTCGTTCCGCCATTCGTTCCCTAAGTATGTTATGCGTTGTTTCCGTCTGTCTTTATTTCTTTGATTCTGCCGTGTGAGTATCAGATAATCCAAGCAATCCTTCTTCATGATATGTCCCAGAAACCATTCTTCTTGATGTTAAGTCTTCTTTGCGTTTCCATTTTCCCTAAAACTTCTCCGTTCTTTACATGTTCGGTCTAGCATCCTTCTGTCGAAACACATCTCTGCTGCTTCAAGCTTCTTCATCTTTGAGGAGATTGTCCAGCACTCACAGCTTTACAGGGCTACAGATATCACGTAACAATTCCTAGCTGATATTAATTGTTTCTTTGCCTCTTTTTTCTTTGCTATGCGATATTTTCTTCCTTTGTTTTGCACTTTCGTTTGTTTTCTTGTCACTCTTCGACTCGTCGTTCTTTCTTTAGTATTTGTAATTTCTTTCTTTCTTTGGGTTAGATATTCTAGCTTGTTTATTTTCAATGTTCCTTTGTTATTTCAATTCTATCCTTTTTTTGGCTTGCAGTTTTCATTCTTTCGTTCTTTATATAGTAATCACAATAGTGTTCAAAAAGTGTACGGTTAAAACAGATAATTTTTAGAATAAGATCCGATAATAAAAATATATATTTGAATATTTGCCTCTATTGAAACTTTTCGAAATTTTTTTTGTTTATTTTGAAGGCGTTAAAAGGATATTTCTGATTTTTTTGTTAAAAAAAATGGACGTTTTAATTAGGTGCAGAAATTTACAAGAAATATCGAAATATAAAATATGCAAACATTTACTATGGAAAGATTATAAATAAAATTTCATGCTAAAATACTGATATGTTTGAAGGGGTAATTACTCAGTACCACCAATTATTATATTTTTTTTAATTCTTTCTTTGGTCTGATCTTTCAGTCTGTTTTCTTTCGGTATTCTTGGTGTCCATTGTCTCTAAGTTTATTGTCATGCTTCTTTGGTGCTTATCTTTCTCTTCGATTTGACTTTGTTTACCTTTTCTTTCTCCTTCGATATCTTCTTTTGCCTTTGTTTAAAAAAATATATTTTCTCTTTTTATTTACGACCTCGTTTATTTTATTCTTCATATTTCTTCTCACTTTCATTCAGTATATTCCCCCCCCTTTTTTTACTTCATTTGAGTGTCATTGTTTTCTATGTTACATATTCGTTCTTTGTTTCTCTTTGCTTCTCTCCTAACACGATTTTCTTTATTTTTCTTTCTTGTCCTGGGTATGACGATAAACTACATCCAACAGCAAGGCCTCTGATCAGGAGGTTTTGAGGAGCGTGGAACCACCTCTTAATTGCTGGTGTTCCCAGGTCCAACGTGACCCGGTGTAGTAGCAACTGTTAGGGTCTTAGTTATGCGCAAATAGTTAACACACAAACAATACCAGAAATACTTTGTAAAAAAATATTACCAGCAATAAATTTTTGAAATATTACTAGATTTTTTGCAGGAAAATCTATATTACCAGAAATAAATTTTTGGAACAAAATATTACCAAAAAAATCTAAGGAACAAAATATTACCAGAAATAGATTTTTTGAAGGAAAATCTAAGGAACAAATTATTACCAGAAATAGATTTCTTGAAGGAAAATCTAAGGAACAAAATATTACCAGAAATAGATTTTTTGAAGGGAAATCTAAGGAACAAAATATTACCAGAAATAGATTTTTTGAAGGAAAATCTGAGGAACAAATTATTACCAGAAATTTTTTGAAGGAAAATCTAAGAACAAAATATTACCAGAAATATTTTTTTGAAGGGAAATCTAAGGAACAAAATATTACCAGAAATAGATTTTTTGAAGGGAAATCTAAGGAACAAAATATTACCAGAAATAGATTTTTTGAAGGAAAATCTAAGGAACAAAATATTACCAGAAATAGATTTTTTGAAGGAAAATCTAAGGAACAAAATATTACCAGAAATAGATTTTTTGAAGGAAAATCTAAGGAACAAAATATTACCAGTAATAGATTTTTTGAAGTAAAATCTAAGGAACAAAATATTACCAGAAATAAATTTTTTGAAGGAAAATCTAAGGAACAAAATATTACCAGAAATAGATTTCTTGAAGGAAAATCTAAGGAACAAAATATTACCAGAAATAGATTTTTTGAAGGGAAATCTAAAACAAAATATTACCAGAAATAGATTTTTTTGAAGGAAATCTAAAGGAAAAAATATTACCAGAAATAGATTTTTTGAAGGAAAATCTAAGGAACAAAATATTACCAGAAATAGATTTTTTGAAAATCTAAGGAACAAAATATTACCAGAATTAGATTTTTTGAAGGAAAATCTTTTACCAGTAAAAAAAAAAAAAATTACCAGGAATAAAAATCTTGTCGGCATCAAATAACCCATTGAGGTAGTTATGCCGTGAAATAAACCAAACCAAATAATTTTTCTTTTTATCTTTTTTTCTTTTCTATCTTTTATATCAGCTTTCATTCTCTCTTCATCATCTCATTTCTCTTTTAAATGTTTTGTCTTTCTTCCTTTTCGACATCTTATTCTTCCTTTTTGACCGCTTCGATTTCCACGTTTTCATTCTCCTTCTACTTGCTTCCGGGAAAATAAGCATGTCTTAGAGACTTAGTTACGGCAACATTCACAATAATTACAGACTAAAAGTCTTACCGGTGTTGTAATTTGAAATCGCGATTCGGAGCCACACGAAATTTCAATGATTTTGAATAAGACACTTAATTTCGAATGACCTAAGCTAATAGGATAACAACTTATTTGCAAAGGTTTCCTTTAATCTCCGATCACTCTATTCTGGGAAAATCCACTTACAACGGTAAGATTCAGAAACATACTACATAATCTCTTGTTTATTCCTCTTCCTTAGATATAGCATAAAATACCCTATTTACATTTAATATTACAGTATTATGGATTTAGCTACAGTTACTAGCAGTCTACGGTAACTGAGGCCAAGGCCCGTGCGTACTATGTGACGCTTGCTATCTTAACAATATTTACTTTTTTCTACCTATATTTATATACACGAATCTCTTAATTAATACGTATTCGATTAGTAGGTTAAATTTTTTATATAGAGAAACTCGATTAGTGCATGCATAAAACTCGATAGGTGCGGTAAAACATTCTTCAATTTAACCATAGTCATTGATTTTTATAGTTACTGATTAATTAAAAATTTTCTAAAATTTGAAAATGGAAAATGGATAACTATTTTGCTTGTTAAGGATTACGTTATTAACCCTAGAACACTAACCATGGGTATATAGTATCCAGCGCCAATTTTCCTATTTTTAATTACAATTTTCAGTATCTGTGTTTTTCAGTTCCTATTAATATTAACTCAAAGTACAAAGTTTGAAGTGCCTGCTTGTAAAATATTTCAAATAAAGATTTATATTTAATATTTTCGTTGGTATTTTCAAAATCGGGTATGATATACCCATGGTTAGTAATGGTGTAACTTTAATTGATGCTTAGTGTTCTAGGGTTAAAGTAATTACGGTAGTGTTAAAAATGGACGGTTAAAACAGATAAATTTTACAATAAGAGCCGATAATATAAATACATATTTGAATATTTGCCTCTATTCAAACTTTTTGAATTTTTGATTTTCTCATGTTTATTTTGAACGCCTTAAAAGGAAATTTCTGATTTTTTGTTTAAAAAATGGACGATTTAATTAGGTGTAGAAATTTACATTTATTAAGAAATATCGAAATATAAAAGATGTATGCATTTACTATGTAAATATTATAAATTAATTACGTTAAAATATTAATGATCATGATTTGTTTGGAAAATGTGGAGGGACAATTTCCCAAGCACCGCCAGTTATATGAAGAACAGAAGAATATCATGGGGCAAACCACTCTAAATAAGTTTTTCCTACAAAACAAATTAATAAACATTAATTTATAGCATTTTGATTGTATCTTCTTATATGTACCTATATTTTAATTAAAAGTACGCAAATTAGAAATCAATGGTAAATGAAACTAAAATTTGAGGTAAAAATGACATCATTCCTGTTCAATTTGTTATGTTTTAAATTATTGCGTATCTTAATGTACACATTAACCACATTAATTGAGGGATTCCTGCACATTGTAAATTAAACTAAGCACAACTGACTATTAAATGAAAACAAAAATCAGATTTTGACATAATTCTGTGTTCTTTATATTTTGAATTGATGATGAATTTTTATCATAAAACCACTTTATAAAAGTCTCAGTTTTTTTTTAGCCATAATGTTGAATGTGTTAAAATTATTCGAATTTTAACAAGACAAATCTCAAGTGGATGTTAAAATTGCCGCAAGACATTATTGATTTATTTAAGATAAAATGATCTATTATGACATGTCTTTAATTTGTATTGAGATACGTTGTAATTATTTTAAATTCTTCCTGTTGAATTATTCACCTATATTGAATATGATTATTGTACATAATTTGGTTACAATAAAATTTGCATTTTATACACTACCTTATGAAAACTGAGAAGTCAAAGTGAAGATGGCGTATCATAGATTCGGTAGGGGACAACGAGACTTTTGCATCGGCTATGACTGGGGACACCGGATATTCAAACCAGTGGGTATTTTTTAGCAAATATTTTCTCAAATAGTATAGATAAATAACAATCGGCTCAGACTGAGATATTCTACCCGAGAAAAAATTGTGCATCTGAAAGGCAAATCGGCATGCTTTATTTCATCAGGGCAAATAGGCTTTTTTTTTTAGCCAAAAGTGTGCCGCTACCTGCTTGACCAAGGAGACAAGCTTGACAGAATGAAAACAGCACAATCATGAATTATGTCTCTTGGAGTCGACGTGGTCTTATCGTATTCTGTAGTAAGGACATAAGGCTCGCTCCTGGCTAGCCCTGCTGACGTTTCTCGGCGTCAGTATATATACTATTTGGACGAGTTCAAGTTCTGGCGAGGTGAGTTTGTCTCCAGAACCTCCACTTTTAATTAAGCACTTTCTTTAGTCGATTTTCCGACATGACCCCACTTCTAACGTTTCAGTCAAATTACATTTTCGTTGTATTGTAATATTAGTTTTAGGAAGAGGTACTTCAAAGATAATTCAAAGTATGTTCATCGCTGAATTAAGTTGTACTGGTTGCTTATTCTGTGCATATCAGTTTATATGTCTTCTATGTCAAAATCGTCCACCTTCGACAATCTACATCAAGGGTCGGCAACCTACGGCCCGCGGGCCGGATCCGGCCTACGAAGGCATTTTGACCGGCCCGCGAGCCTGATTACGAATGATTTTTCGCATGAGAGACGATCTTCAAATGAAATTTGTTATATGTCATTTTCTATAGAATGTCTACACATCTCAGTGCACTAAAAATATTAGACTATCTGCCAGTTATCTTTCATGAGACTTATTTTACCAACTTGCGTTGCCTACGTTTAATATCAAATAATGGATACATATTTGTTATGACCCTTGGCTACATTAAAAAATAACAGAAGCGAAAGGAACGATAAAGTGAAAGAGGCCAGGGAGAGACTGACATGCGAGGTAGCAGAAATCTAAAGACAGTTAAACATACGCGCATTATACATACATGCCTCATGAATCTGTGGATGATACTGCATGTGTACGTACGTAAGTTTATATGTTTGCAACTATTTGTACTCGTATGTATGGATATATGAGCTTCGTTTTTGTGTTTCATTTGTGGAAAAATTTTCAATAACAGTTTCAAACTTACACGTCATAATTTCATCCATTTCACTTCGGTTGATTTTTTTCACTTTGAAGTATTTTGACGTTCCATGAGGAAAAGTAATTTTTGTTAGGTGTTTTTTAATTTTAGATTTTCTTTTGTTTTTCTGATTTCTCAATGTTTATTTTCATTATGGTTTTAAATATTTAGGTTGACAGGGGGTCTGCATATGTAATTTTCCTTAATTTTTCATTAATGTCCTTCGTCCGGCCCGCGACCCGTCATTATAACACGATCCGGCCCGCGGGGTCGAATGAGTTGCCGACCCCTGGTCTACATCATACTGCCAAGGCGTTGAATAATTTTCCCTACTTGCCAGTTTTTATTTCCGGCCTTAAAGCTTTTAAAACAAGACTTTATCGTCGATAAATGATCTAGTAGTTTCAACTTTTCGAATGTTCTTATTCCGAGTCAGTAATTTGTTAAAAATGAATCTAACTTCCCGAGCAAACATGAGCTCTGCAGGTGACATTTTCGCGGTGACGTTTACATTTGACGTCATACGATATACACTAAAACATTATTGTAGTACTTTTCGTTCAGCTTCCAAGCATTTAGCTTTTCACAATGCTATTTTGGAGGAGCCAACAAACCGCTCAACTTGATCATTCGGCCTCGGATGATAAATCGATGTTGTCAGATGTTCAACCGTGTAGTTTTGTAGAAAAATTAAACTCAGCAGAAGTAAATCGAGTTCCATTTTCGGATACCATATTGTCAGTTAATTCATAACATGCAAAAAAATCACTTAAGAATTTAATCGTTATTGCCGTAGTAGGTCATTTACAGTTTAATATCTCAGGTCATTTTGTGAAACTGTCGACTACAATTAAGCAGTATTATCTATTTATTGGTCTAGCAAAGTACATATATAGACTTGCCTACGGTTTATCAGTGTTGAGCCATTCCTGATAATATATAGGTAGTGATTGGGCACCTCGAGGCGGTGTAATGGTTAGCAAACTTCTCTCGCTAGAACAATTACAACTGAGTAGTGAGATCGATTCTCACTAGGTCCCCCATACTTTCGGCCTTGTGCCACATCTAAGCTACGCTTGGAAAATCACTATAGGTAGTGATTATTGCTGCTGACTTAAAACCATTGCATTTTCTTTGATTTGAATATCTTTGTTCAACATTACCCAATGAATATAGTCTCTCATCTTACGATTCTCTGATGTCCTACGTGGAATTGTTTCAAAATACATTTTAATAGTAGTAACGCAATTATTACTCTTTCCGCGTACAAAAGTACTCCATCACAAATAGAAAATGCTGTATTATTATTCTTACCAGGTTTAATTTTACTTTTACTCCATTTCGACTTAACGGCATTCATAGTTTTTTTTTTAACCCTAGAACACTAACCATCAATTAAAGTTACACCACTACTAACCATGGGTATATCATACCCGATTTTGAAAATATCAAAAAAAAAATATATATATATATATATCAAATATAAATCTTTATTTGAAATATTTTACATGCAGACTCTTCAAACTTTGTACTTTGAGTTACCATTAATAAGAACTGAAAAACATATTATTTAGGTAAGAAAATCAGGTACTGAAAATTGCAATTAAAAATAGGAAAATTTGCGCTGGGTACTATATACCCATGGTTAGTGTTCTAGGGTATCCTTTTACGAATGAATTTTGATATCGTCTATCATGACCGGCAATTCTTTAATAATGTTTTTAATTTCTTTTTCGGGTTCCAGCGAAGCAATCATAGTATCTTTCAAAATTTTCTTTACATTTCGATATCAATCTGGGCAAGCCATCT